ACACGTTACAATTCACATTGTGTGTCTGGAGATTCCTAAAACCCCCCAAAACATTATATGTTCTGAAAGCAGGGACCCTGGAAAATAAAATGGTCACGTGATATTTGCAATATCATCAATTTAGAGTTAACGTGAATGATGGGCCTAAAATCCCTGCTCTTGCCCCGGCGTGCTCAGTGATATCGAACGAGCTACTGTGTGTGGCTCAGTGCACATCTGTACTCAGGTTTTTTGGGAGGGGGAGTTTAAAAATGTTTTATTAAACCTCAAAGCGGACCTTTACCCCCCTTTGACTATAAATCACCTCAGCATGCAGCTCTACATGCTGGTATGAAATCATCTTACATTCATCAGCTAAACAAACATATTTTTATTTTACTTATAATTATTGTTTTTCCACTTCCTGGTCCTCTTGGGCATTAGTGATGTAATCTGTGCCCAAGCATTGCATCCTGGGAAGGTGACATCAGCAGAGCATTGCTGGGAAATCTCATGTGTATTCTCACGAGATCTCAGCGAAAGTAATTTTCCTCCTCTGAGATGATGTGCGTGGCCACATGTCCTGGTCACATGTCCTGGTCACATGTGCCAGAGTTCCAGGAAGTAAAAGGAGAGCTAGTAATCTGCCCTTAGTAAAAATGGCCACTGTCAGAATACTGGGTAGGAAAGAGAAATAAGGAATGCAGAGAATACAAAGCCGGCAATTATCTAGAAGTATGTGTTTGTAGATTGTCATTACTAAACATTTCTAAAGATGTGTTTGTTGTTATTTTGAAGATAAGGGTAGCAGACATAATTTTTTTTTCTTGCATAGCCCTAAGGCCCCATTCACACCGAGCGATTTATCGCGCGGTAATTCCCGCGATATCGCGGCTATTTACCGCGCGATATCACTCTCCAATGCATGGCAATGGGGCTCTGTCCGTCGCTGTCGCGGGTCGTGCGTCGCTACATCAGGACCCTTTTTGGAGCGGATTTTGCCGCGATTATAGCTTGCTCAATGCAAGCATTTGTGCGATATAGCACGCAAATTGCGCAACAAACGCGCGATTTGCGAATCGTTCAATGTGAATGGGGCCTAAATGTGATCAGTATGGTGACACAACCCGGAGTTTGTACTTTATTATGATGATATTTTAATATCAGATTTTCACCTTTTTTTCGCCCCAAAGATCATCAAGTTGCCTCCAAGAGACCAGAAAAGTCTGAAAGTTCCACTTCAACTTCTGTGCACTCCACCGTGAACCGCACACGTGCCTCCTCCTGTCACTCATCTGTACAGTCTGGTGACCCCCTTGCTCCCTTTGCTACTCCTCCACCCTGGGTGACCCCGGACTACAGACATGAGAACTACCCTCCTCCACCATCTCTGACCCCGGACAACAGATGTGAGAACTACCGTCCTCCACCCTCAATGACCCGGAACTACAAACATGAGAACTACCCTCCTCCGCCATCACTGACCCCAGACTACAAACATGAGAACTACCCTCCTCCACCATCACTGATCCCGGACTACAGACATGAGAACTACCCTCCTCCACCATCACTGATCCCGGACTACAGACATGAGAACTACCCTCCTCCACCATCACTGATCCCGGACTACAGACATGAGAACTTCCCTCCTCCGCCATCACTGATCCCGGACTACAGACATGAGAACTTCCCCCCTCCACCCTCAATGACCCCGGACTACAGACATGAGAACTTCCCTCCTCCACCCTCAATGACCCCGGACTACATGAATAAGTACTACCCTTCTCCACCCTCAGTGACCTCTGACCAAGGACATGAGAACTACCCTCCTCCGCCCTCAGTGGCTCCAATTCACAGACATGAGAACTACCCTCCTCCACCCTCCATGACCCCGGACCACAGACAAGATTACTGCCCTCCATTACACTCTTCAGCCGGTGATGTTTCAGTTGGCTGTGCTGATCACACAGGAAGGACGATAGGTCCGCCACACGGCCCCCCCATCATTGCGAGTTCTGCCAGGTTCATGCCAAGGACGACCCAGCTTCAGGAGAGGCAGAGGAGACGAGAGGAAGAGACAAAACTGACTCTGATACTTCCCGCATCTCAGGAGATTATCATCGGACCAAAACTGCCAGAAATCCCCAAATTAGACCTGGCCGACGATTCCCTCAACCTCTCCGCTGACATCATCAGAGCGAGACTGAGAGAGGCGAGTAGACGCGTTTACCTGGATGCCGGGTCTATACGTGATCCGACGCTTACGTTGCGGAATTGTATGATGTCATACCCGACCATTCTGATAGGGGGAAGTCTCACTCTCTGAAGAGAACGTCTCTTCCTCCCGGCCACAAATTCTCAAATTTACAATTAATGAGTAATGCGGGTAAAGTGAGAGTTCCTTGTAGGAAAAGCTGCAGCAAGTGATCAGAACTGGGGACACGGTCATTTTCAGAATCCGGGAGATGTATAAATCCATTTTAGGTGAACTGGCCCTTTAAAAGGTCATTGTTTATGGCAAGAGATTGTTGATCAGACCTGATGAGCAGCCCGGTGATGTGTGCTGCGCATATAGATTTCGGGCCAAGAACTAAACTTGTGAGATTTAAACATTTGTGTGCAGTTTCCCCATTTCTTTATCAATCCCAAGGGTTCGGAAATGACTGGATAGTACAGATTTGGCTGTATGTGTGTAAGGTTTCATTGGCCCACTCTGATTGCAGCTGTACCTCGTAATGTGTATTAGAAGCTGCTAGGGATGCACCGATACTAGTATTGGTATCGGGGCCAATACAGGGCATGTTCACTAATACTTGGACTGGTGAAAATGCCCCAATTCTAAAAGCCGATACTGGCCCTTTAAATTTTTAAACGTGTTTGGCTGCCTGAGGTCCCACGCTTGCTGGGGACCTCAGGCAGCCTGCTCAGCACCTCAGACAGCTGTCTTTGACAGTGCCCTTCCGGCCATACATTGCCTCCTCCTACTTCTCGGCGTGGGCACAGCGCAGCCCCACACCTGCCTGTACAGCCCCGGAGCCTGGATCTCACCCGTTCAGCCTGGCGTTCTATCGAAAGCTCCAACCCATCGAGATCTCCAACTACCTCACTTCCGGTGCTCAGAAAGACTGGAGCTCTGTACAGTTGCGGTGCGCATAGCATTTTCAGGATACTCGTCGAGTTTGCCACCTGCTGAATATTGTTACAATGCAGCTGTACAGAGCTCCGTCAGTCTTTGTGTTTTGCAGTCTAACGCTGTCTGGTCGAAATCTCCAACTTGCAAGTACCCGGCAGTGAGGTAGTTGGAGATTTGGACGAGTTGGAGCTTTCGATAGAAAACCCGGCACCCACCTGGAGAGACCCAAACGCAGCCCTACGAAAGTCACTCGCACTCCAATAAGATTTTCTGTCAATGTTCTTTATTGATGAGATTTGTCACATTGTATAGAGAGATTTCGGAACCGTATAGATCCCTACTTCAGGCAAAGTGCCAAACACAGCCCTGGTGAGACCCGCACACAGCCCTGTATAATTGCTGTATAATCATGGATTGCTGAGATTTGTAGTCCTCTATAGCCGGTTGCCATTCTTCATTGCTGAATAATCATGGACTGAGTTACAGTTCTTCATCGTTATAAGGAAATCATCAGTCTGTATTGTTTTAGAAAAAATGTCACAGGTCCCTTTAAGAAAAAGTATCGGCAAGTACCAGAGGAAAGTACTTGTACTTGGTATCTGTGTATCCGTAGAAGCTGCAGCAAGTCAGATAGAGCTTGCCTCATTCCCTGGCTGGAGGAAGCTCAGCATCATCTAGCACTTTCCTCCTCAGCCTGACTGTCCCTGGCCCGCCCCTTTCATTTCATTTTCAGCTCCTCCTACTTCTGGAGGTTTTAGCATCCCATGAGGGCGATACAAAAGTTTCCTGTTTTCAGGAAGTGATGTACAGCACCCTACCGGCCCCTCCCACCAGCCATGATCTGCTTGCACGGCCTACAGCAGCACAGAGACCCAGTAATGATATCAGTGGGTCTAAAATAAGATATTTTATAGAATTATGTCATGAGCATGTTGATGGGGGAGGGGCCAGGGGAAGGCAAAATGTACACACATTAAACTTCATCTGTAATAATTTGCTTTGTTCATTGTGTCTCCCAGGTTTCTGCATCCTGTATTAGAGGCGAGCCCCCCAACGGAGATTCACCGACTGCTCCCCCCGCGAAACAGAGACGAAGAATCTGATCCCCGTTATTCATCACATCGCCTCACCTACATGTATTTATGACTTTTATTGAAAAATACAAAGAACGGTCCGCAGTCAGAAATTTAAACATGAAATATATAAGAAAGTGTTTTTATACAAAGATTGTGGAAAGGCCGTCTTCTTCTGTCCCTCATGCTATGGTCCCTTTCACACGGGCGGGCCCATCGGGTCTGTCGGTTTGTTTTTCATGCAGATCTGATTGGAAGCCCAATGCTAGTCTATGGGCAGCCGTGTGGAAACATACCGGCGTCTATTGACACCCGATTGCCCCCGACTCCGGCCAGGTCCAGAAAACAGAACAGAGTTTTGACTGGACCTGATCGTGCCGGATCGGCGGTAATCTGATGTAAACTGACACACGTCCATTTATATCTGACTCCCCCACAGACACACACAGGGGGTCCGGTCATTTCTTCTATCACAAGATGGAGGGAAGATAACTGGACAATGGTGACATCTGATCAGGACAGGATCCATACACTGATCAGCCCGTGTGAAAGGGACCTTAGGGAAACGTGTGCTGAAGAAAAGTATGTAGGCTGCCACTGCTGGATCCTCTATGAAAATGCAGGTTGTCTGGCTGTCATGCCGATCCAGTGGCTTCAATACTTTCTTAGTTGGTGGCCTGGAACCAGAATGAAGATCGGGAGCTGTGACTTCACCTGATGCGTTCGTGTTGAAGAGTAAGGGAGTATTACTTCCGGATCCCTGTAACGTGGCGGTGCAAGGAAGAGCTCGGGATGCATTTTCTGACAGTTACCATCTATGGTTCACTTGGCTCTGCGAATGCGTTTCTCTCGAAAGCCATTATACTCTGCAAGAGAAATATGTGACAGGAAGAGCAATATCATACTGATATACAGCACATTGCGCTGTGCTGAGGACCCGCTCTGAGCTCAAAGCCAACAGGTATTAAAGCAAGGCTAGGCAACCTCGGCCCTCCAGCTGTGGTGGAACTACAAGTCCCATGAGGCATTACAAGACTCTGACAATTAGGCCCCATTCACACTGAGCGATTTATAGAGCGATTTTTGCAGCGATATCGCTCATATTTCCGCACGATATCGCTCTATGTAGCTTCTCCAATCCATTCCAATGGAGCTGTTCATATCTCGTCGCTCAATATCGCTTGTAGCTCGTCGCTGGTAGCTTGTCGCTCCTACATGACCCTTTTTTTGAGCGATTTCAAGCGATATTGCTCCTGATTGCATACAGCCCAATAGGAAAAAGTTGTGCGATGTCGCTCAATATCGCGCGTCGCGCAATATCGCTCATAATCGCGCGATTTTCATGTCGCTCAGTGTGAATGGGGCCTTACAAGTCATAATGGGATTTGTAGTTTCACCACAGCTGGTCTTCCCAGGTTGCCCACGCCTGTGTTAGAGCCTCTGTCAGGTTTGTTGTCATCTGTGTCCCCTCTGGGGAGATTTCCCCTCACTTCCTAACCAGGGTGGGAAAATCTCAGAGAATAACACAATTTCTTGAATTATTTTACACACACTTTAACCCCTTAAAGGAGAACTATGAGGTGAGTGCATTTCACTCACCTCATAGTTCTAGCCGACCTGTGACAATGAGACTGTCACAGGTCGGCTCAGTAGATCGGGAGGTGAGCGAACACATACCGGCGTTCGCTCACTTCTCGATCCTGTCACGGCTCTCTGCTGTGACAGGGGAGGGACTGGATTCCCCCCTCTCCGCTCCGATCCGCCAGCGCTGACTGGCGGAACGGACGGGGGAGGGGGCGGGTACAGCTGGCTCTGCCTCTAGATAGGCAGAGCCAGCTGTCACTCACCCAGCTGGGCGGATCCCGGCACAAATGTCGGATCCGCTTCAGCGTCTTAGTATACCGCTAGCTGTAGCTCGCGGTATACTGAGCCTAGGGTGACGGGAGGACGCTAGTTTGAGTCCTCCCGTTACCCTAAGGAGAACTATGGGGAAAAGCCCTAACCCCATAGTTCTCCTTTTAATGACAGAAGTTAAAACAGATCACACCTTGCTTTGTCCAGGACACATTAGACCTTCATTTGGTGGTAAATGGTCATGGATATGTCATGTTTGTATTTTAATATCAATAGAAAACTGTCCCAAAGTAGTAAAAAAAAAAAAAAAAGGAAACAATTTTGTAAAGAGCCCTAATGGAGGGGAAATATGATAAAAACAAACACATTTTTGGGTTTCAAGAGTCTGAATAAGACTGAACCCGGACTTTATAGGTTCTGCTTTTATGACTTTCCTTCCTGCACATCCAATCCCAACCTATACAAAAGAGCTGAACCTCGGTCACCACTCCTGGGACAGCTGACTAAGGACAATCATTCCCACCACACTGCTGATGGACCTGATGGAGAACTTCTACTACTTTAAGAGATCCAACACCCGCACCTTCCTTCTACTTCTTCCCCTAAGTCTCCGCCCCTTCTACTCCAACACTATCAGGTCTATTCACAAGAGGAGGAAGATTACGGAGAAGAGAACAATCTAGGACAACATAGCTGAACCGGAAAGTGAGCTGAGTTGGAGAATTTTCCCAGACAGCGATGTTGTCCTAGATTGGTCACTTCTCCTCCGGCCTTCTCCAAACTCCTCACCCTTCTGTGAATAACCCTGTAAATTGTCAGATGTGCCGCCGAACACAGGGGGAGGAGATTGGTGGGGGAACTTCACAGCAGACCTCAAGAGAAGAGTATACATGTCCATGTGATGATTAAGGATGGGCTCGGGCGTGTTCGCAGCTCCACGTGCCGAGCCCGCCAGGAAGCTGACAGCGCCAATCACAGGCACTGAGACATTATCCCGGTCCGCAGCTGCAGAGATCGGGAAATGTCTCAGTACCTGTGATTGGCGCTGTCAGCTTCCTGGCGGGCTCGGCACGTGGAGCTGCGAACACGCCCGAGCCCATCCTTAGTGATGATCACTGATTCCTCCTAAGGGTTGTAGTTCTGCTGCTCGGGAAGCTCACCTTGCTATCAGGGAGGCACGGCCCAAAAGCTTCCAGGAGCAGGGTCTCCTCTCGCACAGCTTTTTCAAAATCTGTGTATGACAGTTTGCTGTCGTGATCGTAATCCTGGAGGAGACATAACACAGAAATGTTATACATGAGATTATGAGCAAACACAGCGGAGAGTGTGCGACAGATAATTATCCTTTTTCTTTTAGTAAGATCCATTTTACCAGATTATTCCATATGACTGAGGAGAGAAGATAAACCGGCTGACTGTTTGAATGGAAACCTAAGAGGAAAGAAGTCCAGAGGCTGCGCGCTGAGGTTTGTATTACTTTACAGGGCTAGAAGACGAGGGAGTCAGGGACAGCGCTGGAGCTTAGATTGCCCCTAATATAGATACACACACACAGTCCTAATTTAAGAGGAACTTAAAGTGACACTAACCTCAGGAGGTAAATCTTAAACATGAATTCCAGTATCTTAACTATTACCAAAAATTTATCTTATTGGAAATACATGGAGCTTGGAGCGGTGACTACTTTACAACACACACAGGGACCATGGGGAACAGAAGTAGCCCCCCTCCAGAAGGAAGGACAGTGTCAGCACCAATTCAGAGATGATTGGAGGATCTCCAGCCGTGTGATACACAAATAAGATACATTGTTGTTAATAGTTAAGATACTTGAATGCATTTTTAAGATTTACCTCCTGAGTTCAGTGTCACTTTAAGGCTGGGTTCACACCTGAGCTTAGTTTTTCAGCTTGTTTTTTAGCGCGTTTTTCCGTTCAGTGAAACGCGCGTTTCACTGGCGGTATGATTTTTTTCCTTTATTTTCTCTTTAAAAAAAAATAATTATTTTTTATTTTCACTTTTAAACTTCCCGCCCGCTCCGCCCCCCTACGACGCGGCCGCTCGCAAGGGACGGAAGTCGGCAGCCGCCGGAGGACACATCGGGGATCGCGGACAAGGTAAGACCTGTACGCTGTATTCCCGAGTGTGGCTCGGGTTACCGCTTTGTTACCCCGATCCACACTCGGGAATACCAATGGAAACACGCTGCATAACGCCCCAAAGAAGCTCCTGTACTTCTTTGGGCGTAGGGCGTTTTGCAGCGCGTTCCTACGCGCTGTAAAACGCCCAGGTGGGAACCGTGCCCATAGGCAATCATTGATTTTCACATGTTGAGCGTTTTATAGCGCGTAGGAACGCGCTGTAAAACGCCCATGTGTGAACCAGGCCTAAGTTCCTTGGTGCTCCATTGTTCTCCTCTTCTGCATTCCCGTCACTCTTTGGCCATTGGGTAGCCGCTGATGTAAATTGTGCAGGAGTTACATTCTCCCGAAAACCGTCTGTCTGTAAGATGTCGGGAGTTTCTACTTCATCTTATACGCACCGCAGGCCGCGTGCACTAAAATAATTGCTATGAGAGGGAGAAGGTTTTTTTCCAGCAGACATTCAATGTCTCTAAAAATCTCCTCTCTGCACTTGCCGCACTCCCCCCAAAAAAGGCGGGTGTGCGAAATGACTGCGGATGCCGCCGCCACACATAGACAAAAAGGAAGACGTCACCAGCACTCCAACAACGATAACAGCAATTAGATGCTCATTTATTGACAAATGCTGCCTCTCATTGGCAAGCGCTTTAGGGGCCACACAGGGTCCCCTTCGTCAGGCTCAGAGATCTCCTGTACAACATTTCTGTTGGAGTGCTGGTGACTTCTTCCTTTTAGTCATGTCAGAGGAACGCTGAATGCATTGTTGTATAGACTTCCATGATAAAAGACAATGCCAGCGCTCTAATACTGTGTTTCCCCGAAAATAAGACCTAGCGCTATGTTCAGGGATTTCTGTAATATAAGACCTACCCCGAAAATAAGACCTAGTTCGGTGGTAGGTCTTATATTACAGAAATCCCTGATAGCGCTAGGTCTTATTTTCGGGGTAGCTGCACCGTATAATTACATTTTACATGTCACGGCCGCAGCTCCCTCCCCATAACCGTCCCCCCTCCCCCGCCAGGCAGGCCCGCACGCCCACCTGTCTGGCTCCCTGGACGGCATTAGAGCTGAGAGCGGCCGCAGCTCCCGCCCACCCGCACGATCGGAGAGCGGACAGCTGCAGCCAGGTACACATAAGACATCCCCCGAAAAAATATAAGACACTCTTATTTTCGGGGAAACACGGTATACAGAGTACACGGTGGTGTCTGCAGTCACTGGCTGCACTTGGAATGCTCGGTGCAGGGTCCATCCCATCAATCATCTGCAGACATGGGTGTAACGTGTCATTGAACTCCATGTGCCCGGGAGGCAGCCGCCATGTGCACAAGAAAAACACAGATCACTGCTAGGACACATAGACAACAATTGTTTTCGATGTGCCCTGTTCACACTACATCACGGGTGTGATGGGTGATATTCTGCATTTTCTTGCAGCACACAGGATGCCAATGAAGGTCACCGCAGTGTAGCCATCCACACTGGTGTGCAGGGACCTGAATGGTGTTGTACACATTGTTCACTACCAATAAAGATAAATTTAAAAAAAAATGTAACAAGTGACAGCTCCGGCAGCGTGCGATATCAAACATACTGCCGGAGCTGTCAGAACGTCCCGTCCCCTAAACAATGTATTTTAGCAGATGGGAGACTGTGAACGGGCCCCGAGTGTCTCTGCTGCAGTAAACTGCTCACCATCTTTTTCAGGGTTATCTCCACCAGATCCTTTATACCCTCATCTGGATCTTCCTCTGTAGGCTGTTTGAGTAGACTGCTCTTCAACATGTGGAACATTTCTTCCCTGGAGATGTATCCATCACTGTTCAGATCATACACTTCAAAACAATCTTTAAAAAAAATATATATATATATGAACACGTGTATGATATCTTAGTGAAATCAGCCTAATGGGGTGCGTTCCAATGACGTTCAAAGTGTCACAGACCATAAGTGATTAGATCTAAAGCTGGTTTATTCCTGGGCAGGGTGTATTTGTATGAAGACCGCCCTAGGTAACACCCTTGTGTGATGCTGAGCCTCCATGATTGAAGGAAGTCATATACAGGTCTCCCATCCCTTCACACGGCTTGTTCACCTGTCATAACGACATGATTGGCCTATCTGTGTCTGTTGCATGTATGATCTCTGTACAAACTCCATGTTACTCCCTCATCTCATCCAAGGGGAATGATTGTTCTGTATATAGGGTCACATACTTTGCAGTAAGCGTTTCTGACTGTGAACACAATAAAGTGTACCTGTCATATACATGGGAGGCAGACATTTTTCTCATAGGGGTAGAATGTCAACCACCAGACATGTCATTCTAATACTTAAAGTTGTAACTTTTGTAGTACTGGATAGAGCAGGAAAAGGTTACAGCCCATATAAAGTTATGTTTGGCTGTTGTTACCCTGCTGGGAAGATTTCCCTTCACTTCCTGTCCTAGAGATACAACAGGAAACAAGAGAAAATCTCCTGAATGTGATGGGAAGTTGCTTCTTAGACATTTTACCCCATTGGATGATTTACTTTCACCTCGTCCTCTGCTGTTCAATGAGAACTCTTAGATTCCCCCTCACTTCCTGTCTCAGTGATAACATTCACCCGGACACATATTGGGTGAATCTCCCCAGCGGTGTCACTGACAGTCTATTCCTTCTCCACTGAACTAAATGAAACGTTTGGCCTTCACATTTAGGAACTTAGAGATTTCCTCCATTGGATTGTACCGCTTACATTTGATCTTTTCATCCAGCGTTCCGCGGAGAAACACCGACAATCCTTCAATCCATTCCGTCAGACTAATGTGACTGTCGTTGTCTTTATCGAAGGCGCGAAAAACTGGAGAGAAGAACACAAAGCTTTGTCATCGGATATAAGAAACAGGAAACAGATGTACACGGGGCAGAGCGCAGCGACGGCGCACACGGGGCAGAGCGCAGCTTTGCTTCCATGCTCCCTTCCCAGCCCTGCCTGGCACTTCCTACATAGACCAGGAACGTATTTTCCTGCTAACACCCCCATCCTATCAATGAAAACACACCCTTGGTCCATCAATGGAGACACGCCCCCTGCCCATCAATGGGGGCACGCCCCCTGCCCACCAATGGGGACACGCCCCCTGCCCATCAATGGGGGCACGCCCCCTGCCCACCAATGGGGACACGCCCCCTGCCCACCAATGGGGACACGCCCACTGCCCACCAATGGGGACACGCCCACTGCCCACCAATGGAGACAGGTGTTCTATCAAAGTCATAACAAGTCTCTGCCCCCTGTCCTAACAATTCCTGCAGGGTAGACTGAATAGTGGTCACATGACCTTCAATATATAAGGTATTTGGTGATATTATTTCATTAAACTAAGCGATGACATCATCATTATTTATACTACACAATGTTTGGCGATCATCAGAATTCACGTCACTGAGCTCATCACTGAAAGACGACTTCTGATTGGCTGCTTCGGGTCACTGCGCCATATTGTTGTGACTCACCCCTGTCCATTAACATATCGTCAGTCATGGTGAACGTGTTGTGCAGTATATTCCTGAAGGTGTTCCGGTCTATTCCCTCCCCCCGGATGTTCGGGTCTATGGGACGACCCACTATGGTGTTGTAAAGTCGAATGAGACATTCCACCTCGATCTTAGTGACTGCCGGACAAAGAGAAATGACATTATTTTATGATTTGTATTGATTGGTTGTAGAACATGAAGATGAGGACAAAGCTAAAAAAAAAGAAACCTCAAACTGAAACAACTCATATTAATGGGGAACATTTATTACAACTGCAGCAGACAATCTGGAGCAGTCGCCCATAGCAACAAATCAGCTTCTTTCTTCCGTTTGAAAATGAAAGCTAGAAGATGATTGGTTGCCATGGACACCTGCTCCAGCTTTGATAAGTTCCCCTCAATGAGCGGCTGCACAATAATCAATAACAAAAAAAATAGTGAAGGTCTCGGCATAGTTACAGTGTCTGGCGGATCTGCTCAGGTTCTCGGCCATCTTCTGCAGGTTCTTGCGGTTCATGGCGGTGGCCGGCTGGGCCATCGTTCCCGGTACTCTCTGTCTCTGCGGTGAACACGGAGCCGGAAGCTGAGGATGCTACAACAAGCCGTTGCCATAGCGATGAGCGCGCCAATCAGCTACGAATCTGCAGTGACATCACTTGTATCCGGCAGGAAAGAGAAGTATAGGCGGCGGCAGCGTTGTGATTGGGCGGTGACGGGCTCAGGACTTTACGAGGTCGGGTCAGCAGAGCAGTGAGTGGGAGTAGGCGGGGCGATGTCATCACTGACTGTAGGTGATCTTAGCCTCCAGCTGCTGGGGACCAGTATCATGTGACTGGGGCGGAGCTTGCTCGGATCTCCTTTCCTCCAATAGGTATCCTGCATTGCACAGGGGAGATGCAAAAACTGCCGGTGATGTATCGAAAGTGCGAACTTATCGAGTTGTGGGACCGCATTACTTCCGGTTTCCTCAGAACTACGATGTTTGCACACAAAACATGTTGTGCATGAGCGCCATCCACGGCATTGCCCTATACACATAGACCACAGCAATAAAGTAATAAAATGATGTAGGATGACAGTAAGCCAGCACGTTCTTTATCTCCGGTGCCCCACTCAACCGCTTGAGTGGGGCACCGGAGATAAAGAACGTGCTGGCTTACTGTCATCCTACATCATTTTATTACTTTATTGCTGTGGTCTATATCTATAGGGCAATGCCGTGGATGGCGCTCGTGCAGAACATGTTTTGTGTGCAAACATCGTAGTTCTGAGGAAACCGGAAGTCATGCGGTCCCACAACTCGATAAGTTCGCACTTTCGACACATCACCTGATCAAATATCAGAGTGCTAGGAGGAAGATGCAGCAGATTCGTTACAGTAGAATGCAAGCCAACCCTTTTTGTTATTTTTTTTTTAGTTTTGGATAGAGCAGTGGAGGGTTATAACCCCTGTACGCTTTTTTTTTGTGTTTGCCATCTGTGTCCCAGTGGGGAGACTTCCCTTCACTTCCTGTCTGATCAACACAACAGGAAGTGAGAGGAAATCCCTCCAAAGTGAGGAAACCCCCTAGAAGTCAGGGTGACCTAGTATTCACATTGGAAGATTTCCCCCTCTATTCCTGTTCCGATCACAAACCAAAATTTGAATTTTCTTCTAGAACTTTTAGCAATAACAGGCACCGGTCCAAATCACACCATCCTCACACCTTCTTCACTAGTTGAGTGTCAGTGGGCTCCAAGATAAAAGAGGGCTCCAATGTTGAAATTAAAAACAAAACAAAACAGACTGGAATCTACTAAAAATGTATGTTGTCATGTCACAGCACTTGTGGGAGAACCTCCTTTGGACACGTCATCAGTTCACAGATGGAAAAATGAAGCTTTCTAAGATCAACGTACCTACGGTACTGTGAAACATGGAGGAGCTCAGAGATGTTCTGGGGATTCTATGCATGGGGTGCCTTTAATCAGTGCAGGGCACGATTAAGTCTCAAGACTATCATAGAATTCTGGAGCAAGCCATACAGCCCGGCGTCAGAAAGCGGTCTCAGTCACAGGTCATGGACCCTCCAACAGGATAATGACCCAAAACACACGGGGGGGGATGGGGAATTTATCAAAAGTGGAGCAGCTAAAATCTGGAGCAGTTGTGCATGAGAACCAATCAGATTCTCTCTTCAGTTAGTTCAGTTAAGATTTGATAATGAACGAGAGAAGCTGATTGGTTGCCATGCACAACTGCTCCCGATTTTAGCTGCTCCACTTTTGATAAATTCCCCTCACAGATGAGAGAACGCAAGACGGGCTAAGAACAAAACATTGGACTATTCTGAAGTTGCCTCCTAAGAGCCCCGATATGAATCCTACTGAACATCCTCAGAAAGAGCTGAAACATGCAGCCTGGAGACGGAACCCTTCAAACCTGAGACAGCTGGAGAAGTTCGCTAAAGACGATTGGGCCAGACTACCTGTTGGCAGGGAGTTCGGTAAAGACGATTGGGCAGACTACCTGTTGGCAGGGAGTTCGGTAAAGACGATTGGGGCAGACTACCTGTTGGCAGGGAGGTCGGTAAAGACGATTGGGCCAGACTACCTGTTGGCAGGAAGTTCGGTAAAGACGATTGGGGCAGACTACCTGTTGGCAGGTGAGGCTCCAGAAATCTCGTTTGCAGCGATTGCCTCTGAAGCAGGGGTGGGCAACCTCGGCACTCCAGCTGTGGCGAAACTACAATCCCATCATGCCTTTGGTAATCATGCGTTTCAAAATGCCTCATGGGAATTGTAGTTTCACAACAGCTGGAGTGCCAAGGTTGCGCACCCCTAGAAAAAATTCAAAATATTAACAGTCACTTAGAAAGCCATCCACAACTCCGCCCCCAGATATATCTCCAAGCTGGTCTCAAAGTATCACCCTAACCGTCCCCTCCGCTCATCCATTGACCTCCTGCTTTCCAGCTCCATTGTCCACTCCTCCCATAGTCGCCTCCAAGACTTCTCTAGAGTCTCTCCCATCCTCTGGAACTCTTTACCCCAACCTGTCCGTCTATCTCCCACCTTGACTGCCTTTAGGCGATCCCTAAAGACCCATCTCTTCAGGGAAGCCTATCCCACCTCAACCTAACCACTGAACCATCACTTTCTCAAACAATTCATCCCCACACAGCTCCCTCCTCATGTATCATTTCCCCCTCCTCTTTCAGATTGTAAGCCCTCAGGGGCAGGGCCCTCCTTACATCTTGTCTTGAATTGTAATGTCTTCCTTATATTGTAAAGCGCTGCGCAAACTGTTGGCGCTCTATACATCCTGTATAATAATAATAATAATAGTCTAAGGGCTACTTCACACCAGCCACTGTGCGTTCCAGCCTGATTCTGTCCGGAACGCACTGGATTGCATTGCGGCCGACTCACTGTGTTGTAGGACGGTGCATTGAAGTGAATGTCTGCTTTCCGGTCTGGTATGAAAAGAATCGTGCTTGCAGCATTTTTTTTTCTGCCTGGACCACAGGCATTCATGTGCCTTGTGTATCCCGTGTGGCTGATCGCATTGCGGCCAGAGGGCATGGCTATGGTGCCATTGAGGTCAATGCAGCGTCAAGCTCCCTCCCGCCCCACGACAAAGTGAGCCGGCCGGAATGCGATCCAGTGCGTTCCGGCCAGAACGCACTGCGGTTGGTGTGAACTCGCCCCGAAGGTTGTACAACAAAATATTAGGAGAAGGGTCCCATCAATTTTGTCCATGTCACTTGCATTCAAGAGATGAACAGGTTGAAGAAGTTGCATTTTCCCACAACCCAAACTTTAAGGCCTTGTTCACACCTGAGTGTCAGGGGTTTCTGCGTGTTTTCGTGTGCACATTGACGTGCGATTTCCTCTGGCGCGTTGACCAATGAAAAGCAATCAACTCCATGACACAGGTTCCTGTTCCCTTTTACATAACTTCCCTTTCCTGTTTCCCATAAATAAAGAACATTTGCTGCTGTGTTCCTTGCTGCATTGGCTTGGTGATGGATCATTATTACTTTCAGATCTGGGATGCAACATGATCCCGCGCACGCCTGCAAGTTCTTTTTTTTTTTATTTTGTGGTCGACGAGGGTCATAAAGACAAATAATTAGATTCATAAAACAGTCCGTCTCCTTCATATTGAGCCTTGATGACTCCATTTTAAATCCCAGTGGGGGAATTTATCAGAACTGGAGCAGACATAATCTGGAGCAGATTTGCACTACAGCCAATCAGCTTCTTTGTCTCATTTTCAAATCCTAACTGAGCCAACTAAAGAGAGATGCTGATTGGTTGCCATGGGCAACTGCTCCAGAACCTATCTGCTCCAGTTTTTTTTTTTTATGGGTGACGCAACGCTCAGGTGTGAACAGGGATCATTAAAATGAATGGAACTTTTTTTGCTGAGTGTTTCAGCGCCTATAGATGATAAAACAAAGATGTCCCCTGCACACCATACAGCAACAAAAGACCTTGAAGTAATGGTGGTGCTCGTAGTGATGTCCACGCATGGCGCTGTGCGTACAACAGTAGATAACAATGAAGATCACCAGCACTCGTGAGATGAAATAAATCCAAATGTTTTTTTTTTTAAGACGCATGTCACAGCAGCCGACGTTTCGGAAACCACACAGGGTCCCTTCCTCAGGGCAGACATGATGATGGTGTCTCTGTCACCACGTGTGCCCCGAGGAAGGGACCCTGTCACCACGTGTGCCCCGAGGAAGGGACCCTGTCACCATGTGTGCCCCGAGGAAGTGACCCTGTCACCATGTGTGCCCCGAGGAAGGGACCCTGTCACCATGTGTTCCCCAAGGAAGGGACCCTGTCACCATGTGTGCCCCGAGGAAGGGACCCCGTCACCATGTGTGCCCCGAGGAAGGGACCCCGTCACCATGTGTGCCCTGAGGAAGGGACCCTGTCACCATGTGTGCCCTGAGGAAGGGACCCTGTCACCATGTCTGCCCTGAGGAAGGGACCCTGTCACCATGTGTGTCCTGAGGAAGGGACCCCGTCACCATGTGGGTCCTGAGGAAGGGACCCTGTCACCATGTGGGTCCTGAGGAAGGGACCCTGTCACCATGTCTGCCCTGAGGAAGGGACCCTGTCACCATGTGTGTCCTGAGGAAGGGACCCTGTCACCATGTGTGCCCCGGGGAAGGGACCCTGTCACCATGTGGGTCCTGAGGAAGGGACCCTGTCACCATGTGGGTCCTGAGGAAGGGACCCTGTCACCATGTGTGCCCTGGGGAAGGGACCCTGTCACCATGTGGGTCCTGAGGAAGGGACCCTTTCACCATGTCTGCCCTGAGAAAGATGACTTCCCTCCAAAAAGAATCTCCTCTTCAAATTTCCCTCACCAATAACTCACACGAGGCCGTCCAGGTTTAAGAAGGTCTTTATTCCAACCATAGTAGATCACTTTCATAAAACAGGACAATTTCTTAATGGGTACCGAAGTGTCTCATCACCTAAAGCAGCTCAGCTTCAATATGAAGCTGTTAAATAGAGATATAAAAAAAATCATACAAAACAACGAAAGCTTTATACAAGCTGAACGGATCCAGTCACCATGACTGTGTGTTATAACAGAAGGCAGGGGAGAAGGCATTCATCTAACGCTACTTACA